GCAATCTCAGATAACATTTTCTACATACCGATGTGGGAGTGCATCGCAATGTAGTTGCAGTGGATACCGGATTCACCCCGCTCGCTCTGGCTAAAGAGAATTGGCGCAGACCTGTAGTACTTAGTGTTAATGATCGCAGGGAAGTATGGAAGGGCAAAGAGCTCCATGGTCGGTTTTATCGGGCCCTAAACGGGTCCGATATAGATTTAAAAGCATCTACGACTTGGCTACGGTATGGTGATCTCTTCGGAGAAACTGAAGATTTTGTTTGTGCGATTATGGACGAAGTTATCATGACGAAAACTATCGGAAATATATCCTGAAAGATGGTACGGTTGACATCTGTCGGGCATGCCACCGTCCTGGCCAATCAATCAGGCATATTATTTCTGGTTGTTCTCGTCTTGCTAACGGCGAATATTTGCACAGGCACAATCAAGTAGCCAGGATCGTACACCAACAGCTTGCCCTTAAATACCATCTTGTGAATCTAGAGGTGCCATACTACAGGTATGTGCCCGACCCAGTTCTCGAGAATGGTCGGGCCACGTTGTATTGGGATCGATCTATTATCACAGACAGGACTATTGTTGCCAATAAGCCTGATATTATGCTGATAGATCGATTAGAGCGCCGCGCAATGATTGTTGATATCGCCGGTCCTCATGACGAGAATCTCGTGAAAGTTGAAAAAGAAAAACAAATCAAATATTTGGATTTATCTCACGTGATTGTCGATATGTGGAATGTTGATTCAGTGATCATTGTTCCGATAGTCGTATCTGCTCACGGATTGATAGCCAAGAGCCTCGACCAACACCTTAAGAGGCTCACGTTGGACGGCTGGATCAAGGGTCTGATGCAGAAGGCAGTCCTCCTTGACACGGCTCGTATAGTGAGGAGGTTCCTATCTTTGGAGTCCTAACCACCGGTGTCTTGGTCCCTGTACCCGATGTCGGTGGTCTACTATTTTTTATATTTTTAAATGTATTTTGTTATAATTTTTTATAAAGTGTATGTTTAAAAATGTAAATAATATGTATATAAAGTAAATAAAGAGAATAATAATAATATATTCTACCACATACACACAACGCCATCTAGTCCCAAACTAAGCAGAGCTTGTACTATGGGTACTAGACAAAAATGTTTAATGGTTCGATTGTATGTAATGTGGAGGACATCGCCATCTAGTATCGACTCCAGTACATCTATTAAGGTTGTGGTAACAAGTAGTTTCAATCCCTACAGCACTAGATGGCGCTGCAAGTAACGCGTGACTGATTCTGGAATATTCGTGTTGTCTGGAACGGACTGGTATCGATCTTTCTAGTAAAATTCAAAAGCGCTATAAAAGCGTACGACACAGCGAATTAACATCGGAGTGAATTTCTAATGCGACTAACAAGATATATAGTGATTTCTAGTAGTGAGTGTTTGAAAATACAGTGAAATAAAGCAATTAACCGACAACTTTTATTTATTATATACCCCGCTCGTAACAAAAAACAAAACAAAAAAAACGATACTCAAAAAATTGGTTGCCTGTAAAGTCGGTATACGGGCGAAAGTTTTACGTGACAACGACTATGTCTGTCTCTCTCGCTCTTAGGCGGGCTAACCATGCCCGATTGGAAGGGACGCGTGCCTCTCACTCGCTCTCATTGTGAGCGCATAACGTGAGCGGAGCGTAACGCAGTTTCTTGAAGTGTCACCCGGCAAACCAATTTATAAGACGTTGTCACGTCAAAAGTAATACAATGAAGACAAAGGTGATGCCCGTAAAGAACGAATTGGTTAAATATGGCAGCTTTAGGTTAACGATAAGTATTTTTCATCAACAGCCTTTAATAGTCCACTACTGGACATAGGCCTCTCCTTCGAAAGGAGGTTTTGGCCTACTATACCACGCTGGCCAGACGGGTTGGTATAATTATTATTAATATGATGGTATGTAGCTTTAGGGAGTATAATGGTAACACCGTGGTTCCCACACCGACCTTCGGGGTACCAGGGATACTAAGTTCGTCCGAAATTCAACGAAGTACGATTCTGTGGGCAGCCTTGTACGTAAGGCTGTTTGCTTAGAGAATAGCACTATATGGTAAGTGACTACCCCTGCCCATGGGCACTTGCAACTTAAGAGCTTACTGTTTTGTTGCCCTCCCCCTCCCCCTCCAGTATCAGGGGAGAGGGGAAGGGCTCCTTCAACCTCAGTCACTCAGTGTAAACCAACGGAAGTTTAGCACCAATTTTCTGTGATGCCGTGGTATCCGGTAGAACCTGGTATATTTGTGACAAAGCATGACTCTTACAGTGACAAAGTAATTATATGTTGTTTGTATAAATCTATACACATATTCTTAGGTCAAATATTAAAAACATTACGACGTGGCTTTAAATTGACGCCAGCGGTATTACCACACCACATGAGGCTAACGAGACCGCACTTCATTATATCAACAGCCTTTAATGGTCAACTGCTGGTCATAGGCCTGTCCTTGCCCTGTCGTTTTGGGCTACTATATCACGCTGGCCAGACGGTTTGTGTAAAGTTTTTCTTGTCTTTGCAGTGTTGTTATTCTGCTTAGTTTTCTCCCTGTCTCTGACGTCATATGGATGGAGGGGGTCACCTGATGAAAAGTGATTTCTAGGTTTTTTTTCTGGAGCCGGTCGTTTTCGTTAGTCGTATCGGTTAGGAAATACCGCATGTGACAATTTGTTCACAGTTTGGTTGTGCAAGGCAAACGTTTCTTGAAAAGCGCGCAGGGGTAGGGAATTACGTTTAAGCGTTTAAATATCCGATGTGCTTTTTTAAATGAACTGAATGAGTTCTATGAACAATTTTATTTATATATGTATTGGTTACTCCGGTAAAGCGACTGGAGTGATACCGAGGCATCACAAAAGACCGGTGAAGTAAGTCTCTGGTTGCTTTTCACCGAATGAGTTTGATGTTAAATGGTTGCTACTCAAAGGGTGGAAACGCACTTATGACTAAGTTGCAGATGTCCATGGGGGGTATTAATCACTTACCATTAGGTAACCCATCTGCTCATTTGCCCCATCATCATCTGCCTACCCCTACCTCGATTTTAATTGGGAGTCGACACAGTAAGTATGATTCTGCTATTTTATCATTCGTCATGTCACTGTTTACTTTTTTTGGTCTTCCTCTTCTCTTGTACCCTTTAACTCCGATACTTTATACTTTTTTCGCCAAATTTGCCTCAACCCTCCGCATAACACGCGCGCGTCTGCTCGTCTGTTCTCTGACATGGTTTTTAACTAATTCTAATTTGATCTTTATCTGTAGGAAGTTGGAAATAAAAAAAAACACGGATGTTAAACATTTTATTGCAAAGTTTACAATCTTACAATAAAATATTGTTACAAAACATTTTAATAAATAATCAAATCTGCATGTAGCTATTCTTGTCGCCAGGAAAAGGTAAAAATACGGGCAAATGTTTACATTGAATGCTTCCTAACTTGTAACTATGGAGGGTAGACGTAAGAAGAACCATCTCTGTGTATAAATAACAAAGTAAAAACGCGTCCAACAAGGGTGGCGCTGCTGTAGCCTAGGAGAAATTTTAAAGAAAGCGCCAAAGTAATTAGAATAAGATTATTTACTAAATTATTTTAAATTACGTAAATAGCTGAGGTTTTGACAAAGAAAGGCAAATTTTTAAACTCAGCACACTTGACTCCGTCTAATAGCTATGTTTATATCGTAGTTTTTCATACGCCAGGGGTCTTATGAGGTTCTCCTTGCCTCCACACTCCATAATTGTAACATTGGAACCGACGGTGCAGAGGGACGTACCCACTTTTTTATGAAAGAGGGTGCAAGTGAGCAAAATAAGTACTGTATTTGAACAGTCATTAACTATTTATATAACGAATTATTTATAATTTTTGATCCATTCTACTTTATTTATATTTTGACGGAGCTATTGATTTGTATAGATGTAGATTCGTTTAAGTCGCTTTTTAACAAATTAATTTACTGCTAAGAGAATATAATATTTCCAATTATATTGTTAAATCCTTAAAAACTGAGTGCTTGATTACTTACTGAAACTTAGGATTATAATTATTTTACTTACTATTTCATATGTATAAAAAGTAGGTATTATTAGATGTGTAAAGACTTAAAAGTGGTAATATTTTTAAGGTATGATATGTTTTCAATAAAATTACATAGTTTGCTAAGAATATCAACCATAACAATAAATTACATCATCATCAGACTTTAGTGGTCCACTGGCTAGACATAAGAATCTTATCTTATCTTAATTAGAAAAGTTTTGGCCTGATATACCACGCTATACGGATTGGTATAGGGTTTGTTTCATAAGTATTTATTGATACATTAAACTGTAACCAAACTGCTATATTAAATTTAATGGCTTTAAGGCTAATTATGACCTAACAAGTAGCTAATACTTAAACACAAGATATTCTACAAAATATGTATTTTTAAGGTTGAAACAAGAGACAGATGGGCGGTATCATACAATACAAAAATAATAAGTCTCAAGTAGTAATATTTTTTGGTCCGTGTGGTGACGGATTAAGAATACGGAATGTTACCACTCCTTTTCATCCCGCGGGTATCGTAAGAGCCGACTAAGGGAGCAAACTACGCAGGACAGCAGCACTGCAAAGAGAAGGAAAACTTGAAACAAACCCTATAGCAACCTGTTTGGACGGCGTGGTATAGTAGGTCAACCTCCTTTCTAAAGAGAGGCCCATGCCTGTCAGTGGACTGTTATAGGCTGTTGATGATGTTGTTGATGACTATTTAAAAAAAGAACTCTTAACATTTACATTTGATGAGATATTTATTCATACAATCAGCACTAGCGGCTTAATTCTGTAAACTTTTATAGAATTAAGCCGCTCACATTACTAGATTCCGATGTCGTCTTGCACTACAATTTACCAACTTCTGCATGCACTGGCTTTTAATGTTACCCTATTAACTTAAAAAGCTACCATAACCTGTAAATAATAGCAGATGTTACACCTATCAGTACTGTTGTCAACACCACCGGATTTTCAATAATACTGCTCCAGTCACATCCACTTTGCTTCTGGCATTTGGTTGTGGTCAGTTCGCAACACTTGCTCTGCCTGTATTGAGCGCATGGGTCAAAGGCCGACGGCGGTGGTTTAAACCCTTGCGGTGGTGGACATTGGGGTATCTATCGACACATAAATGTAAATTTAACGTTCTTCGCTTTTTCAATTGGATATTATGATACATGTTATAAGCCCGCCATATTGTTAAACAGGCAATTTTCGAGAGCATCAATTTTAAGATTGAAAAGTGAGTAATATCGACGATTGAAAAATAATGCTTACTGATTGACCAATGTTTAATTATGTACATGACATACAAAGTCTAAGCAACAGGCATCATCTACATACTTTTTTTGGATATTTGGTGTTTATTTATTGGAAAAGTTTTAAACAACAGAGGCGGTCAGACTATTAGTGAATTATCATTTTATTTTGTAAAACATGAACGTTTAATTTCATTTTAACTTTATTTTATACTATACTAGCTGACCCTGCAAACGTTGTTTGCTATTTACATTATTTAAATTCTTTTTTTTTTTGAATTTCGTAAAATCCGTTCTTAGCTGACCTCTACTCGGTGAAATGAATATTCCTACCAAATTTCAAGTCTTTAGCTCTAATGGTTCCAGAGATATCGTGATGAGTGACTTTATACGTGGAAATCTTTTATATATATATATAGAAGATGCTACGGTACATATGTATATTGTTAGTTAATGCGATTAAATGAAGGATTTTGAAACAATGCTTAGTTATTTTCTATTATAAAAGAAATATGAATAAATTACAATAGTAAAAATCGTTCAAAAGTTCGAAACCGTACATGTTGCTTAGACTTTTTTAATGTGTTTAAATAATGACACAGAAATATATTATAAAATGACATTATTATCGGACCACACATAAACAGACATAAATTTTGAATACTTGAGTCATTTAAGAATTACATTTCAATAAATACAAGTGCAAACGTAAGAATTATTCTGATACTTATACAAGATGCCAGTAAATTAAAAAAAAAATGTCGGTCACTCTTTTCAATTACATGACGAGGATATGTGACCCCGGCGTTTTCAATCTATCTGAGTTCCTTTTTTCCCATCCGATTTTCACTCCCCCTATCCGTTTTCTTACCCCAACTTAACTTTTTCCTATGTCTCGTCTAGAAAGATAACATTCCCAAAGAGACTCGGCGTCAAGTAGGTGGATATACAAGTAATTTAAGAAATGGCAGAAAAACAATGTGCATAAACTAGACATAATTAATTCATGAAAAAGGAATTAAGATGGATGAGATGGATAAACTGAAATGGAGAATGAGTGGTGGGAGAAAAGTAATGTAAGTGAATGTAACGATTCATACAAAATATGAAAAAAATGATTTGCATGACATATTTTGTATTTTAGGATTATTCTTTTATTCCAAGTAACTGATTTCATAAAAAAGGGTTTTTTTATCACGCAATTTGTCCAAATTTTTTTTTACGATATCGCCCGCATTAGCAATGTATCCTGTATCGCGGGCGACTTTACAAACATACATGAAACGGACACAAAGAACATCCAGACTCAGAACAACAATTTGTGGAACACACAAAGTGTCGTCCCATGTGGGGTTTGAGCCCACAACACTAGTGATAGTAGGAAGCGGCGTGGCGACCGCTTAAACCACTACGCCATCGGTGCAGTCTATAAATTTAATTAATTTAATAAAATTGATACGTGATAGAATGAACAACTAAAATCTATAAAACTTTATACACGCGACAGAATGGGCTATATAGTCTATTAAATATTCGTCTCACTTTTGGCTTGCCATCATTAAACGGCGGGAGTCCAAAGAGCTGAGGTTCGAAGTCCAAAAGATTATCTAGTACCATTGTAGCTTGCTCGGCTGCCGTGGTATCAATATTAGCATGCGGAGTTAAGATAACCTGCAAAAAAGAGAAAGGAGATTCTCATCTTCTTAGGTTTACATGTTCATTAAGTGGGTGGTGATAATTTTCTATTTTATATATAACTAGCTGAGACCCGCGGTATTAAACGCGTTTGTTAGTTTGAAAATAGTAGCCTAAGTTACTCCTTATGTCATAAGCTATCTGCCAGTGAAAGTCTCGCCGAAATCGGTCCAGCCGTTCCAGAGATTACCCGGAACAAACAGACAGACAGACAGACAGACAAAAATTGTAAAAAATGTTATTTTGGCATATGTACCGTGTAAACATACATACGAGTATGCATTTAGTAAAAAGCGGTTATTTTAATATTACAAACATACACTCCAATTTTATTTATTTGTATAGATATATGATACGCCAGTCGATATCCAGATTTACTGGTCACACCAATCACACAATACGCAAGCAATTTTTATTATGACTATTATACCATTTTATGGAGAAAGATCAGGCGATTCCTTTCGACCTGTCATGTCCATCATGGTGGCGAAATAATAAGACCACATTTTTTAATAAAGCCAATTGTTCAGTCGCCCAAGTGGTCAATTTTGAGCAAGTCACTAAATTGTTTATAAATTCATGTCCTTAAAATAGGATCCGAAGAGTGGTTAGGCCGCCTACATGTTGGTCCGACGACCTATTGAACGTCGCGGGAAGCCGTTGGATGCGACCAGCACAGGTCTGGTTGTTGTGGTGAGACTTGGATGAGGGCTATGTCCAGTAGATGACATTTTTCAGCTCACATGATAATGATCTATGAAATTTTTTGACACTTTCAGCTGAGACAAAATAAATATCTCGATATTCTGTTTTTTTTTTTGCAAAACCCAGTTCCATTTTGATGTGAAGAACTGCTAAAGAATTTTCGAATCTAGGTCAACAGTTTATTCGCTTACTATTAAACGTTTTTAACCTACCCTGATAGAACTGCAGATTCTCTACTCCAAAGTTGTTGATGAGGATGAAACTAACTTTGATCTGTCTGAGTAACCTACAAACATTTCTGAGTAACCTGAAGGATCTGTAGTTGAGTAGAGCTGCTGAACACTACTGACAAAACGTTACCTGCATCCCAGCGGATAGACCTGCTTGGAGACCAACCAGTGAATCCTCGAATACAAGGCACTGAAATGCAGAAATTTTAAGTCTAGAAAACGCTTATCAGATAATACATTTACATGATTTTTTTCTAAGAGAAATAGAGAAGCAGGGCCTTCCCAAATCCCAAATATCGGTATAATTAGTATAATTCCAAGACTTGTGTTATCCATAACCCATCACATTCCTTTTCTTTATCTCAATCTTCTGCCTCTGTCCTGTCTCAAAACGATAACATTCCCACGGAAGGTGGCGCCTGGCAAAAAAACCAGCCTTACCAGAACTTAGCAGACACACCTTGCAATGTTACATATTACGCCTATCCCAAATAAAATTGGGAGAAAGGTAGGAAGACGAATCAAACAGACCGTCGAAACACAGCTCTCTCTTACCTCACAAGGATGAGGGTTTTTGGGAAATTTATGAGCTGCAGCTAAAAATAAATCGGGATAGGGTTTGCCACGGTAGACTCCGGGGTCGGTGGCAGTTACCTGCAAACGAAAATGTTATAAATGTTTGACAATTATAAGTATCATACGTGTAAAGAACCAGTTGTTACCATAAAAAAATTCACTCTTTGTTTTTACATATCGACGGCAGTAAACAATTTCATCATTTCTCGAAATATTGAATTTTACTAAATTCATATTTCGGAGACCAAAGAATATTTCAAATCTTCATAACTTTTTTTAAAACTAGAAATAAATCAATACTGTATCATTCACTTTTCTCGTGTCAGGAAGACAAAACATTGCCCATGCGAGGACATGCCATGCGGGGCTTTTTTTAACTTTTTGATTAGTTGGGCTACGCCGGATGTCGCTTAATATTACGCTATTGCGAGCAGGCGCTAGGAGTCTTAGTAATAGCTGTTCCCGGACCCCTCCTTATTCAGGCACACCGTATAATTTTAGCCGGTTCGATTAGGATACACCGCCCAGCCCGGTGGGGTGACAACCTAATGCGGTGGCCACAAGTGTAAACAAAGAATTAAAAGTAGGTTAAAATTGACTACTAAGTTTACATACCTATTTACAAGTTAATATAAAACGTATTGAAAAGGTCAGGAAATAATTTTACCACATGGTTAAAAATTTTAAATATTTGCGGTTTTGCGATCGCATGCTGCCTCACTTGTGATGCGGTTGAGTTCGTGGCCAGGGCAACTGGAATTTTGTTGTCCCTTAGGTGGAAAAGTAGACGTTTTACACCTGGAATTTAAGAAGACTGTTGGTGATATCAAATTACTTACTAATTATTGTTCCGTCTAAATCGAAGATACAATGTGTAACACATCTGAATTTCTTTTTACGATATGGCAGTTGGTGTTTGGAAGGCACTCATATGAGTTCCTGCGAAATACTAGTGGGGATTTCTTCCAGATGTATGCGCGTTCATAAGATATATTCTTCTATTCGGTTTTCTGTAAGTCGTGATATTACCCCGAACGGGCAGGTCCACATTTGCTAATTCATGGATCCCCCCCGTAAAACAAGCACTTGACATAATCATAACACATTACCTCAGATTTCCGAATATTTCTGTGTTTAAAAGACACCAGTGCAAAAACCTTTTTGCATAAACTTACCTTTTTGCAACGGCGCTTTCGGTAGCAACTTCTCCGATAACCGGAGCAACTCCGACTCGAATTCGTCGACGGACACGTCTATTTTCAACTCCTTAACTACGTACTCGCATATATGTCTATCTGTGCCACCTATCATCTAGTAAAAAAGAAAAGAAAATATAGTACCCATATATTTAAGTGAGACAGGAGAGGAAAAACCACCAGGATCTAGACAATAACTACAATTTTTTATGGTATTGGGGGGGAGGGGTTTGTAGAGCAAACCTGTCACCTGATGGTAAGTGATGTGTGACCCATAGACTCCTGAAGAGTCACAAATGCGTTGCCGTACTTTGAGTCCGCCTCCTAGACCCAGGGGGTAGAGAGCGGAGGCTTTAAATCTAGTAACCTATGTCATTTGGTGAAAAGCACCGGAATCATTGGCCGTAGTACTACTGCGGTCAACCCGTCTCAAACGTGTAGAATAATCATTATGGATCATATTTGAAAGGTTTATCCAATACGTAACACAAGGACTATTAAATATTTTTATATATATTTTTAATTTAGGCAAACTAAAAAAAAATGCGTGTTACCCGATTTTGAATTTCTTTTGTATAAATCTTGCCATACTTTTTACAAATTTGTCCTACTACGTCGTGATACATTTTCTCTGAATCTGTAAAAAAAATATTAAAACATTAATATAGGGCGCATACCAGTACTCGGGTCACCTGATGGAAAGTGACAACCGCCACCCATGGACACCTGCAACTCGACACAGTATGTAAAAGCAGTTTTGCTCTTTGAGTGCCCAACCCCAAGTTGTGAGGGGGAGAGGGGGGATTAGACCTCTGGCAACCTCACTCACTCGGTGAAAAGCAGCAAAAGAATCGTTTAACACCAGGTTTCTGTGAGGATGTACGTATCAATTCTGTCAATCCTTGTCGATTCTGACTGCACGGATGGCGTAGTGGTTTAAGCGGTCGCCACGCCTCTTACTACTTCGCTGAGTGTTGTGGGTCCGATTCCCACATGAGACGACACTTTATGTGATCCACAAATTGTTGTTCAGAGTCTGGGTGTTCTTTGTGTCCGTTTCATGTATGTTTGTAAAGTTCCCCGCGACACAGGATATATTCCTAATGCGGGAGCTGTCTTTTTAAAAAAGAAACGAAAGAAAGAATCCGTCTCGAGATCCAAGGCCCGAAAAGAAGTATAACTAAACAATAGCATTAATAAAACTGACGCGGCAGGTACTAGGTACCTTTATACTATTATAAAGTTTATAACATTTGGTAAGACGCCCGATACACACATCAACAGCCTTTAATAGTCCACTGCTAGACATAGGCTTCTCCTTAGAAAGGTTTTGGCCTGCTATACCACGCTGGCCAGACGGGTTGGTATAGAGCTTTTGTCAAATTTTTCTTCTCTTTGCAATGCTGTTGTCTTGCGTAATTTCAGCTATACAACGTCAGATACAACGATTGCCGAAATTACGCCGACTTATTGAAGATGTATCGTTTCCCAGCCTCAGTGGACGTTGGGAGCAAATTCAATAATTCAAAGTATTTTTTTCTGCGATGTTATTGATAGTGTCTGTTGTAAAACACAAGTTACTTACTAAGTATTGTTCCGTCTAAATCGAAGATACAATGTGTAACACATCTGAATTTCTTTTTTACGATATGGCAGTTGGTGTTTGGAAAGCAATGTGTCATAACATAGAAACGGATCTGTGTGGGTATTTTGAAAAATTTGTCTGTCTGATTAGCCGATGCATATTGGATTATTTATAAAAATATTGGCCGACCAATGACACTAACCACTACAAATTTTATTCTCAATCATTGAGCTTCTACTTCAAACTGACCATTAACTAAATATATATTATGACATATGCTTTGACAGCTAAGTGTCATTTTGGCGCTCGAATTTTACTTTTTATTTAAATATGTGATTTACAACAAACCATTATTATAATTTGTTTAAGCATCCCATGCATAGAGTGAACAGGAGCTCCAATCTTACAATATAGGCAACGAGAGAGATGGATAATAGATAAGGAACTATCTATCTCTTTTTAGTCGAGCTTTGTGGTTGGCTGGGGAAAATTCTAATCTGCCGCCTGTTCTACGAATAAAACCATGCCCACACGATAGCTAAACAGAGACAGAGGGAACTATCGGGCATCCATCTCTCTCGTTGCCTGTATCGCTTCCACTTACAGGCTGCTGTACCCTGTGGTCTCTCTATGATCCCATGCATAGTAAAGTATTACCAAGACCAGCAGATTACTAATTCAATTTTCGGTCACAATACGATAAAATTACATTAGTCAAAGTTGGATGCTTAATACTTTACTACGAAAATACTACTAATTTTTTTTTTTTTCTCTTCTTTTTTGTTGTCTGCAGAGATAGGCAGTGTCTTAAAATGGCATAGCGTACAAAAAGGTCGGCATCACCGGCAAATATGGAACCCGTTACGGAGCTTCGCTTCGTAAAATGGTGAAAAAAATGGAAGTTACACAGCACGCAAAATATACGTGCTCATTCTGTGGCAAGGATGCAATGAAGAGGTCCTGTGTGGGCATCTGGTCATGCAAACGCTGTAAAAGGACGGTGGCTGGAGGTGCATGGGTATTTTCCACAACAGCTGCGTCATCTTGATTAGATCGGAACTGAATTTTGATCGAAGTTTTATCACAAACATTTGCCTTATTTACCTGATGTGTGTTTGACTTTTCTATATCCTGTCTGAAGACGGCTACTTCCCCAAGGAGGGTGACGTCAAGCAGTTTAAGTCGTCGGTCTATTGTGTCACGGGGCGCCCTACACTACGTTTGCATAATCGCGGTCTCTACAAGCTACCGGGCATAAAATAACCAATCCAGAAGAAGACAATACTTGTATATATATGTATGTGTATCTATGCGTATTTATGATGTGTAAGTGTAGTATGTGTGTATATGTTTATATATGTAGTGAACTGTATATATTTTCATTGTACATTTGATATTATGATGTAACCTCTGTGCACCTACCTTACAAGATTTCTACATCACCCAAAGGTTGACTGGAAGAAAATGCCATGGGCATTAAGTCCGCCGATGTACAAAAGTTCATAAAGATGAATAAATAAATGAGAATGATCACGCGGGCACATGGGAATATTAATAAAACCATATAAATTCGGTTAAAACATGTATTTTACACCAAAACCTTTTACACTAGGATATATTTAACTTAAGTATAAATCAATTGAATGTACAAAAATAATCAGTTTATATTTGATTAAACAGTAACAAATCTTTTAACATTTTAACAGTGTGACTATAATATTAAGATTCGAAAAAAGAATATTGAAAACAATTTTATACTGCAATGGCCAAACTAGAGAATGTGTTCTGAACCGAAGTGTACAAAAAATAATGGTTTACAATATTAAGTTTTAAAATATAGGTACTAAGCTTTAATTTACTTTAAATTAATCTTTGGAGTTGAGAAATGTGTCTAATTTGAGATAGGTTAATGATGACACTGACTTACTGACCGTGTAATAAATACAAAAATATTGTACTGTATTGTACTGTATTGTATTGTATTGTTAATTATAAACAATACTTTATTTACAAGATCATAAGGTGCAAATTAAAGCAAAGCTGAGTTAACTATGTTACTGAACTTGGTCATCCTTTTGTGCGCACATTTTTCTACTAATTTAAGGGAATATTAGACTGTGTTGCCATATAGAAATATAAAATTACTAATTTCGCTGAAAAAAATTACACACTTAGGAATATTTCAATAAATAATTACTAGTAAAAAAAATAAAAACCGTTCTATTCTGAATATGAGTTAGTTTTTCAGTCAATTTAGACATAATATACAAACTCATGTATTTTTAAAATACAATACACATTTAAAACCTAAAAAATGAAAAAATACCGGTAAACTTTTGCAAGTTGTTTTAGTAATATAAATTTAAGAAATAAGACCTCAAAATGAGCATATATTAATCATTTGTTTGCGCCAAAAATTAAATAAATTTCGACGGTCCCTACGTACAGCAACCCCCCCCCCCGCACCCCCGTTAGGTGATGGCCCATGGAGCGATATGACAATCGTGGTCTACATACAAATCATTTTATTTTTTATCGCTGATGTGTCATACTCAATGAAGGTAGTTTAAAAAGGATGGACGGATCCTGGTCGGGCACAGGGGTGTCATGTTAGACGCACGGGGCCGTCTTGGGGCGCAGTAATGTTGGGGCACATGAGGTCATGGCGGGTCGCATGGGCCGTGGTGGGGCACATAGGGGTCTGGGTTTAGTTAGCACGAATCAAAGTTAGTTTACTCACAACTAATTTAAAACCTAGATCTAACACCATGCAGTGTTATTTTTTTTAATCTTTATAATATTCACTTTAAAATTGCCAGATGAGCGTTTCTGTATCTCCGTAAGAGAAGATTTTTCTTTCTAGTCCAACATATTTGAGTAAACTAACTACATATACTGTTTTATGTGTAAACATGTTAATTATGAAATAAAAAACAATTTCGTAATTAAGTTTTATACGTAGGAACCTTCGATTTATCTATTTTGACACAATACAATTATAAGCAACAAATTATATCAAAAACTTTCGTAAATAATTTATTAATATAAGGGTTCATTCGTTAATTACATGAAAGCTAATTTATAATTTTAAATGTGTAACATATTTCGTGAAAAGGGACGGAAGCGTGTAACAGGAAACTGTGGAAGCGTTCGCTCTTTGAATTGACCAATGAGCGCGCGGTGCTAGTTATCCGTCAGATAACGTTCCGTTACACAGCATATGAGACTGTTGTTAGACTCGCTCGCTGTTTTACCCCCAATCCCTCACTTCAAAGTAAGAATAATTCTGTAATTAATGAACCAACCCCATTCGAAATAAAATTGTACTAACTTGGTGTTTACGGAATCCCAACTTACATTGTCGTTCCACTTTGGTAAAGAACTGCTCTTTAAGTCCAGGAATAGTGGGGATTACCCGTAACACATATGAGAATATAAAAACATTGTTTACTAAAATTCTATGTTTTGTCATCATTTTTTTTTTAAATACATAGGTACATTCAACATAAACGTAATGGAAGAGAGTAACCCGCCAACATTTAGTCACCCAGTTTAAAATAAACCAACATTTAAAGGCCTAGTGTGGCGATTTGTGGAGAGTTACGTGTGGGCCAATCGTAACGCCGAAGTCACCGTGACGATCCAGTTGAGTGAAATAAACTCAAACTAGACCTTCTGCTAACCCTGCACCCCACAATGTGAGAGTGGGTGGTGGGTTCTCACCTCCTTTTTGCCTTAACAAATTTTTGCTTTATAACGCCTAATTAATTTTTAATACGTAAAACATATAATATCTTTTGTGGGACAACTGTTTCATACGTTCTCGTATATTTGAAGGATAGAATTGAATAATTTTAGCACCTGCAGCGATACTTAATAATTTCATAGTCCTTCAGTTTCATCCTTTTCATATTATTGAGAATTACCCCTTCTATTGTGTATAAAAATAACTGTGAGACTAGAAACCAGTATTAAATCGGTGGTAACTCTACAGGCAAGTTCAACGTCTAGTAGACCCGTTCGTATAGACGTCGATTTAGTACTGTGATGTATGATTGTAAACTAAGTCCCGCATGTTTATATAAACGGGACTAACGGGACTTTTTATCTAAATATTATTATGAGGAATAATATTTATTTTTAAATTTTAATTAGTATGTCAGGTCTTCATTAGATCTTATTGAAATAATAAATAAGAAAATATGATCAAAAAATGCGTTTAAAACAGAGAGAAACAGAGTGTGATTACAATTAAGTTTTGTATAAAAAGCTATAAAGCACATTTTGATTATACATATATATTTAAGAGTATCCGTACACACTTTATGAATTATTCAAATGCCAATGTTTTAGCTATTTATAAAATGAAGACTTCTTCATTTTACACACATTAAAATGGACAATTAAATCTTGAACCATTTTTTTTATTATATACTCTGTGCAAATTAACTTATTTTATTTTTAGGACACATTATGATTTTCCTAAAGTACTCAGTCTCTGTTATTAATTTAGGAATATACCTTCAAAATATATCCTTGATAGCAGTCTGTGGCAAATTACGACTAAAACAATCGAAGCATTTTTAGTAAATTCAGGACAAACCTCGACAAGTCCCGGTGGGATATCTCCTTATATCTTTTGTATGTAATGGTTACGTATTTCTCAATGTTTGGTGAACTTATAAAGTTAAGAGTTTTTTTTAAATAGGACCACACCTATAAGTGAAATTAATGGTCTTTTTGTAGGTTACAATATATCCGGGCAATCTGGAAATCGGTAATTTTGTCGATTGCCTTTCTTGAGTTTTCCTTTCCTGTAGGATTTGAAAGAATGGATGAGAGGGTTCATGACCCCTATAAGCTATAATTTAAACATTAAAAACGTTACATTGCTAGCACGTTTTATGTGCTTAAACTACAGGATTATTTTATTCACATCTGCTTACAAAATTGTTATAATATTAAAAAATCTAAACTTGAGAAAAGGCGTAACTGGGTGCTCCAATTTTTTCATGTTTTTGAAGGTATATACCTAATTGAGAAATGAATTTGATATTATTCTCTTAAAAGTGTAGGGTAGTTTGAAAAAAAAAATACAATTCTAAAATTGATTTATTTATTTTAAAATACAAGATTATAACCTCCACCAATGTGTTTAAAAATATATCTTTTTTTATCTACACTTTTAAGGAAACATTATCAAAAACATTTCTCCTTCAGTAATACACTTACATTTATAAAAGATGTCATGTATTCAAATTTGCACACTCTAGGTGCAAATTTACGAAATCCGAATTTGAGGCTAACTTATTATCATTCAGGGGTAATTTCTCATTGAGACTTTTATTACTTTGCTTTGTGTTTTCAAAAGACACATTTTTATTATCTTTTGATTCGATATTATCACTAATAATATTTTCTTTCTTACTTCCCTTATCTTCAATTACTCTATCTTTAACTAAAGTAATATTTGCATCTGCTTCTACTGTGCTGATAGGAGTTACATTACTATTCCCTAATTCTCCATCTTCTGAATATGTCGCTTCTTCTTGTGATAAAGAAATACATGAATCTGTATTTTCGCCGCTTACATTTTTATCTGCTTCTTTACTCTCTTGAAGTAGTTCAGAATTTTTTCCTTCAATCTCCTCATTTTTCAATCTCTCGTCTTCCTTTAACTTTTCTTGAGCTTCTTTTTCTTTTTTCTCTGCAATTTCTTTTCTTTTTTGAGCATTCCACCACGGCATGAACCGTTGGAACATGATTCTTGAGCGATGTTGAGGTTTTAAAACCCACGAGACGGCCATGTCAATGTCAGCGATCCTGTAATGATAGAAAAATATAAATAAGTACGTAACTTATGGCATAAAAGCCTTGCCGCAATCTCAAAAAATAACTGTAGTAAATTGTGTAATAGATAAATTGATGGTTTTTGTGTAGACGTTTTTAGGAACCTAAAATTTAGGAATTCCCGATTTAAAAATGTTGGGTAATGATAAGCAGCTTTAATAGCTTATAACGCTCACCAGACATATACTACTGTATGTAGCCTTGTCCAGCAATCAATTAACCTCAAAAAGACCAGCATTATCCAGTACTACTAAGTTCTTCGAGATGACAAATCAAGAATATTCTTTCCCTTAGCACCTAAACATTTTATTCGCTGAAGGCTGTTTTACATCTTTCATTTACTGAAGGAAAAGTAACAAAAAACAGAAAAAATGTCAATTGGACATACACGAACGTTAAAGTCAAAGTTTGCGTATGTCAAATTGACAGTTTTCCTGTTTTTTGCTTACCTTCGCTTAAACCTCTCCCGGTCGACGGCGAACTGCTGCCAATAACGGACGCGGGTCTGTTTGGCTGCGAAGAGCCAAACACGCATCACGTGGACTTTTGGGGGGTTCGGAGAGAAGCGCACCTGAGGACAAAGAACAAGTAAATATAAGTAACGATATTCGATCAGAGATAGTTGACTATGAGACCCGCTTTTAACCAAAAGTATTTGGCGCTCAGTTTTGAATTGCAGTATCGAAATTTCTATTATAATAATACATGTTTGGTTGGAGATTCTATATCAGTAAAAAAATTAATCCTAAAAAACCTAAACCTTTCTAAGGAGAAGCCTATGAAAGAATGAATAACAATGTAGCAATCTGAAAGAATGGAAAAAAAATCTTATTCAGCTAAAAAACCTACAATAGTATTTACACAAAGTTTGCAGTTACCGACGCGCGTTTGTTGTAATTGGGAGAGCCCTTTTAGCACAATAGCAAATAGAGTGATAGCAACGGTGCTGGTTAATTCTTAGATGCATTTCACCGAGTTAGCAAGACTATTGGTGGTTCAACAGTGGCACTAAACATTTGTGACTATTGACTTAAGCCACTTCTTCATAACATCAGGTGACCTCTCCTTTGCCACCCAAGAACTCCCGCACCAGGACTATATCCTGTGTCGCGGGGGACTTTAGAAACATACATTATTCGGCCACAAAGAACGCCCAGACTCAGAACAAAAACTTGTTGATCACACAAAGTGTCGTCCCAAGTGGGGGGGATCGAACTCACAACACTCAGCGTAGTAGGAAGCGGCGTTGCGACCACTCCCTGCAGCGAATATATATTTATTCCACAGCAATGATATAAATCTTTGACCTTCTCAGGAAACAAGTTTGAATACATATGAAGGAATCGTAGCAAGTTTAACTCTGCCTAAGGCTAGCAACTATATTCTATAATTACAAATTTATGCAAATTATATCCTAACATTTTACGGAACACAGAAAAACTTGTTAGTGTCACTGAGGTTAAGAAATATCCTGATCCTTGGGGGCTGAACATGCAGCAACGCACTTGTGGCTCTAAATTGCAGGTCTAATCTCTATGGGCGACGGTGGTCCTTTACCATCAGGTGGCTCGTCAGCTCGTTTGCAAAGTTGAGGGGGAACTAATATTATTAGCTGAAGAATTTGTTTGTTTGGCTAATCTTAGGAATCACCGGTTCGAATTAGAAAATCTTATCATCTATAGCCCAATTATAGAGGAAGGCTGTAGGCTATATAACATCACACTACGGCCATAATAGCATCAATGCAAACTGTTGAAGAAAAACGAGAAAAAAATATTCCTTGTACAGAGACGCAGACATGTTGCGTGGGTCTGATAGTGAATAAATAACACTCAAATGATTGATAATCTCCGCGTGTTCAACTACTCAGACCGAACTAACTGCGCAGTTGAAGTATATCGTAGTAGGATTTCAATATGATACAATGGAATATTTTGTATATGTATCTTTATATATATAATTCTTCTGTGAGTGTGTGTCACTGAACTTCTCTCAAACGACTGGACCGATTTTGATGAAATTTTTTGTGTGTGTTCAAGGGGATCTGGGAATGGTTTAGATTCACAATTTTGTCCGCTGGACAATGTTTTTTTAATTAATTTTTAATTTATTAGTAGTTGTTGATTTTGGAATGTTTTACATTGGATCAGACAACGTCTGTCGGGTCCGCTAGTAGATATATATATATATATATAGGAAGATATTGAATATAAATATGGTCGAAAACCAGTGTATTATAAGACTAGCTAACTAGCAATAGTAATTATTTCTTATTTAGTGTTACTAACTTCCATACAACCGTTCATCTCTTATTTTACCCCCATAGGGGAGAAACCCGTGTGGTAACTTGTTAAGAATACTAAGTGTCAATTTATTCCGTGGTTGTCGTGGGTTTGCACAGTTTGCTCCCTTAGTGCCGACTAAGGGAGCAAACCAACATAACTGCAGAAAGGAAACCTTGAAACAAACCCTATACCAACCCATCTGGCCAGCGTGGTATAGTAGGCCAAAAGGCCTATGTCCAGCAGTGAACCGCTGATGAGGGAAGACCCTTAGGGTTGTACTAAATAGTATGGAAGTTCTTCATTTTCAAAGTTAAGAATTGGCCTTCTGAGTTCGATTCCCACCAAGGACAAATAACAGTGTGAAGAGCACAACCATTTGTTCTGTCTGGTTTTTCACAATTTATGTATTATTATGTGTATGTATTTAGTAATATACAAGTATGATTATCAGCAGTCTGGTTAACATAGTACAGGCTCAGCCTAGTTTGGAATCAGATAGATGTGGTTTTTATTATTATTAGTATAGCAAACATTAGTGTGTATGTATACATAGTTAAATAGTGTTGAAGCCGATTAAAAACGCACTTTCTCTCGCTTATGAAGGTCGCGACACAATTTTTTTAATACCTTACCTTCCACATAACTCAATAACAGGTAAGTATTACATCACTAATTTGCAATTTTTATTGTTGCTTAGTTTAAAATTATTACTAAGTTAATAGTTACAAGACATCAGTTTCTGATCCTTTTCTAACCATAAAAATTCGTTCAAAATTCATCTACTTTCGATTTCACATAAAAGGTATCCTGGCATGAAATCCTGAGCGTAATGAAACTTATTCAGACAACGAACTTATAAAAACCTAGACTCGGAATAACAAGGGTCCTGGGTGAGAATCGAACCCATGACCTATGGATTAGCAGTCAGGGTCGCTAACAAACAGGGCCAAACATCAGAATTCACAGAATCATTAAACAGTAAATAAACCTTGAATCATTCGTTAACTTCTAGACGTAAACAAAGTGACGAATCAACATTTCACAATACACGTTTCTGATGACGGCGTCGTGTCATCCGATGACGTCACGATGACGTCACTATTATGCGTGGAAACTTTATATTTAAACGGGGTAGATGACTGTCAGACGAATCTGTATCTTCTTATTAAACGTTAAAACGATAAATAAGGTACAGTTTTGTATGAAATACTATGTCATGTCGTTTCTATACCTATTGTCAAATCTATAATTATCATCAACAGCCTCTAATAGTCCACTGCTGGACATAGGCCGCTCTTTAGAAAGGTTTTGGCCTACTATACAACGCTGGCCAGACGGGTTGCTATAGGGTTTGTGTCAAGTTTTCCATCTCTTTGCAGTGCTGTTGTCCTGCGTAGTTTGCTCCCTTAGTCGGCTCTTACGACACCCACGGGATGAACAGGGGTGGTGACACTCCGTATTCTTAATCCATCACCACTTTTTGACTTTCCGTGACGGATTGAGAGTGACGAAGCTGAATAATTTGTTAAAATCGTATCGTGTATAAACAAAACATATTGCAAGTGTACTTCATTATTTATCTTTATTACCAAAATCGTATTTTCGTCGAGTGGCAACATTGGTTAATATAAAATAAGGGACTCTCCCTTTAAACAAATTGTGTAGTCACGCTTTGATGACGAACAGTGTACATCGCAATTGTGGCGTAATCAATGTAACACAGCTAGGTTATTTTGAATGAATCATTATGAAGAAAAAAATGTACCGTAGTCAGTAATTATATAGGTCATGGTAGTTAACGTGTAAAGAACATGCATGTTTTTGTTTATGGTGATGAGTAGACGGTTTACTTGGAGGCAAGGTGAGGCAAGTAGGCACGAAAACATTTGTAGTTTTATTTCACACTAGCTGAGATCCGCGGTGTTACCCGCGTTTGTTGTTATAACCGCGGGCAACGCCGCGGGGCGAAGCTAGTCTAAAAAAGTAGCCTAAGTTACTCCTTATGTCATCAGCTATCTGCCAGTGAAAGTCCCGTCGAAATCGGTCCAGCCGTTCCAGAGATTACCCAGAACAAACAGACAGACAGACAGAGACAAAAATTGAAAAAAATGTTATTTTGGCATATGTACCGTCTAAACATACATATGCATTTAGTAAAAAGCGGTTATTTTAATATTACAAACAGACACTCCAACTTTATTTATTTGTATAGATAAACCAATCAACATACTGAGTGTTATATGAATGTTTTCGGATTATATGAATTATGTATATTATGTGTGTGTAATGGTGTAGGTAGTATGTATGTAATGTTACTCAATGATATTATTCTATATTATAGATTTATATATTTCATCTTCCTGTTCTAATTTTTTTTTTACTTTTCGTGTAGATGTATTTCTTGGTCTAGTCTTGTATATTTACCCAATTTTAGTGCACCAAATCACTCATTTCTACACCACCCTAAGGTAGACTGGCAGATAATGCCTATGGCATTAAGTCTACCTTTCTACATTTTTCTTGTGCATAAAGCATTAAATAAATAAAACATACTGAGTGTGTGATTGCTTTTATATAGAGCCCAAATAGGTACAATGATTTGATATTAATACTTAATCCCTGTGTATACTATGATTTAATATAATAAAAATAAAAAAATAAGAACTTTCACTAATTGCATACAAAACGGCAATTACCTATATATAACCTATTATTAGATACTATTCTGACGTCATAATGGCGGGTGCCTCTAGATTTTGTTTTATTTTCGTTTTAATAAAGATACAATTTAGGCAGCGGTAGCCTATTGGTTAAGTCTGTCTTCCCCATCGGGGATGTAAGCGTAAGTATGTGAATAGAATGGCCAAAACCAGGAGACGATGACGCGGCAAACTGAATGAAGTGACGCATCATTCGAAATAAGCTCTTGGCTGATTGAGGGTCATTAGCATCTGATGCAATTAGATTGATTTACAGAGCAAGAACATTGCAAGTGACGCATTAAATGCTTTCGCTGAACGAAAGATTTTATCAAGACATTAGATTTAGACATTTGTAGATATGGTTATGATAAGACAAAGATACCATGTCAGAGTATGTATATATAACTAAATACAAACATACTCTCTCGTAAAGGCACTTTTAAGGTTGGTACCGTAAAAGTCCGGCAACGAACTAATGCAATTCTAATTGCAAAAAAAAATGATTTAAAAATATATATTCATATACTACGGGTGGACACGAGTGAATCGTGGTCCCAAACAAAATGGCGGCTTTCAATATTGTA